CTAAACCCTAAGCCCTAAACCCTAAGCCCTAAACCCTAAGCCCTAAGCCCTAAGCCCTAAGCCCAAAACCCTAAACCCTAAACCCTAAACCTTAAACCCTAAACCATAAACACTAAACCCTAAACCCTAAACCCTAAACACTAAACACTAAACCCTAAACCCTAAACCCTAAACCCACAACCCAAACCCAAAACCCAAACCCAAAACCCATGGAGTAGTTTCTCTCTCTAGAATTTTTCTCTCTAGAAAGTTCTTTTGGAGATTAAGTGTTCTTGGTTTTTTCTTGGGTTTTATGTGCTTAATCTTCTCAAATCTGTGAAATATCGTTGTTTTTGCTATGGGTTTACATCGTAGAGTTCGTAAATCAGCAAAGAAATCAAAATCAATTGACAAAGGGGTTAGTGTTCTTGGTTCCTTCCACTTTGAAGATAGCCCTCAACAGAAAGACGATCTTCATGGCGTTCCTCTTCCTCATGAAATCAGCTCCAGTTCTTCTTCCTCTGCAGCTTTTAATAAAATTTGCCAAGGGTAATCCATTTTATCCAAAAAAAAACCCTAAACCTTAAACCCTAAACCCTAAACCCTAAACCCTAAACTGTAAACCCTAAACACTAAACCCTAAACCCTAAACCCTAAACCCTAAGCCCTAAACCCTAAGCCCTAAGCCCTAAGCCCTAAGCCCTAAGCCCCAAACCCTAAACCCTAAACCCTAAACCCTAAACCCTAAACACTAAACACTAAACCCTAAACCCTAAACCCTAAACCCAAAACCCAAACCCAAAACCCATGGAGTAGTTTCTCTCTCTAGAATTTTTCTCTCTAGAAAGTTCTTTTGGAGATTAAGTGTTCTTGGTTTTTTCTTGGGGTTTATCTGCTTAATCTTCTCAAATCTGTGAAATTTAGTTGTTTTTGCTATGGGTTTACATCGTAGAGTTCGTAAATCAGCAAAGAAATCAAAATCAATTGACAAAGGGGTTAGTGTTCTTGGTTCCTTCCACTTTGAAGATAGCCCTCAACAGAAAGATGATCTTCATGGCGTTCCTCTTCCTCATGAAATCAGCTCCAGGTCTTCTTCCTCTGCAGCTTTTTGTGTTAGTAACCATAGCCTAAGAGGTAACTTCTTGACTGACTCGCCTATTATTTCAGAGAACCAATCCACTGTTCATGTAGTTGGTGAGGAAGTAAACTCCCATGTGTCGACTCCTGTTGAACTCTCTAAAGATAAGAGAGCCCTCGAGGATGATGGTGGTACACCAGCTAAAATTTCAGGTGTTAGTTCTTTTGCTCAAGTTATGAAGAACTCTCATGCCAAGGTGGCTGCTGGTGACGTTCCTGTTCCTAATCCGTCCCCCTTAAATATAGTCAGGTTAGATGGCATGATTGAGGTGGGTTCGGATTCTGAAGAAGAAGTTCACACTCATTCACATCCAAAACTCGTGAATGGAGAGGATTCCAATAATTTTGGTAGTGATGTGGATATGTCATCGTCTTCTCCATGTGTTGGTGTCACGACTTCGTCTCTTGGTTCCCTTCGTCTCTTGGTTCCTTGGCAGCGCAATCTCATAAGGTCTCGTCGGGAAACACTGCTTCTCCGCCGTGCATGGATGCTTCCTCAAAAAATGGCATTTTTTCAGAAGGTTTTGGTATGTCGCAATCAAGATCCATGGAAACTGCATCTCCTTCTGTCGCTACGTCTTCACAATTGGAAAGTCAAATCCTTGTTGGGGAAAGAGCCGATAATATCTCTTCTAAAATCGGAGTTGGTGCAGCGTGTGAATCAGCCTCATTTAACACCCAAAAAATCGCATTTAATTCTCCCTTGGTAAAAAATAATTATATGGAAAGTCAAAAGCTAGATTTTTTGGAAACGACAACTTTTATAAAAAGAACCCACGACTAGCAAGAAACTAGCGAAGGAACAAACCAACAGAAAGAACATTGTTCAAACTAAAACAAATACAAAAGAACAACAAATGACAATTAAAGACATCCCCAAAACGGATGTGTTGACCATTATTCCCAAGTGCACATTACTTGTTTACCCCTGCATTTCAACCAAAAATACACCATTGATTTTACGGCTTCAACACCAGTTGCGGGCTTTGCGAATACTCCTTTAAACACACAATCATTCCTGAGTTTCCATAAGTTCCAGATAAGTCCATGACATATGGTGACGAATCTCTTTCTCATCTTCAAATTTCGACCCCATCCGTTTGCATATTCCAACAGTTCACCCACAGATGTGAATGAGTTATGTTGCACACCACACCAAGAAAGGATTTTATCAGTAACAGAACGAGCAAATGGGCATATAAGTAGTATATGATCTGCACACTCGGATTCATTGATGCATGCACCGCATGTAATCGTCGTGAGGTCAATACCACGAGATCGTAACGCCACCGCTGAAGGGATCTTCTTTTGTAATGCCCGCCAAATAAAACAATTGACTTTATTAGGAGATACCTTATTCCATTTGAAGACAAAGCTGGTTGAGGCGCAAGAGGGGGATGGGGACAATTTTGATGCAATCTTTTTCCACATGTTACTCACCGAGAATGTCCCACTATTATCTAGGATACATCGCCATTCATCCCCACCTGGTACCAACCTAACTAGATCAAGATCCCTATGTAAATTGATCAGGTTGAAAAATCAACTGTGTCTTCTACTCGAATGGACCAGTGTCCTTCAAAAGTACCCTAAAAAAATCTATCTGCCACCAAACAGTTCTTCCTTGATTCAAGCTCAAACAGTGATGGGTACTTGACTTTTAAGGGCACCGTACCTAGCCATCTATCGAACCAGAACAAAGAGTTTTCACCTGATTTTATGTGCACTTTAAAGATGTCTTCAATCTCTAACCCATGTTTTTTGAGATCAGTCCTTGCTGCAGCAATATTCTTCCAAACACCAGGAACGTTCCTGCGTGATAGATAGTCATGTGGTTTGTTATGGATATTATGAATCCCTTTTATAGTGCAACTCCAGATCGAATTTTTTTCCACTTTCAGTCTCCACCACCACTTGACTAATAAGCTTGTATTGCCTAGACCACCCTCAGATTTAGGGGCCACAATTTTATCCCACGACACCCAATGGATCTTCCTATTATTTTCATCACCACCCCATAAAAACCTTCGGCGAATCCTCTCCAAAGCCTCAGTGACTGCCATCGGTGCCTTAAACAAAGAGAAGAAATAGGTTGGGAGATTCCCCAAAACTGAGGTAATTAGGGTCAACCTCCCACCGAAAGACAACGCCTTTGCTTTCCAGGCTGAAAGTTTTGACTGAAATTTATCTAGAATCGGTTTCCAATTTTTTATTAAGTTCATATTTGCACCCACCGACACACCAAGATAATTGAATGGGAATGTGCCCGCTTCACAACCAAGGATGCTAGCCCAATTTGCGGACTCACAATCTGAAGCCCCGATCCCGAATACCCTAGATTTGTGGAAATTGACTTTGAGACCCGAGGAGGCGTTGAAGCATTTGAGGATCCGTGATAAATTTTTAAGATTGGTTCTAGACCATTCACCGAAAAATAAGGCATCGTCCGCATAGAAAAGATGTGATAAAATGGGACCGTTGTTCGGGATTTGAATACCTTTGAAGATTCCTTTGTCTCTAGCTGCCTCCAATGCAATATTGAGACCTTCCATTGCTATGATGAAAAGAAATGGGGACAATGGATCGCCTTGTCTGACCCCTTTAGAAACTTCGAATTCTTCTGTGGGAGATCCGTTTATAATTACCGAGGTACGCGCGGAAGTAAGACACCCGTGGATCCATGATCGCCACTTGCTGCCAAAACCCATTTGGGCGAGAATGGAGTCAAGGTACTGCCAGTTTAAAGAATCGAATGCCTTATCGAAGTCTACTTTGAACATCAACACCTTTTTTTGCACTTTATTAGCCCATGACAACAACTCATTTATCACCAAGGGTCCATCAAGAATACTTCTACCTTCCACGTATGCGGATTGCAGATCACCTATGAGCCCACCAATGACCTTTTTGAGACGCAACGCTAAGATCTTGGAGATTATTTTATACATACATCCAATGAGACTGATTGGGCGATAATTGGTGAGCGAGATGGGATCTTTAATCTTTGGAGCGAGAGTGATGAATGATGAATTGCATCCCCTTGCTAAAGTCCCAAATTTGTCGAAGTGAATAACAAAATTCATCACGTCTACTTTAAATAAATCCCAGTAGGTCTTGATAAATTTAAATGTTAGTCCGTCAGGCCCAGGGGCCTTGTCACTACCGCATGCCCAGACCGCTGTTTTTACTTCTTCAAGCGTAAATGGAGATTCAAGTTTAATTGCCTCCATCATGGATACAGACTTGAATAGTGGACTGATGAGTTTAGGCCTCGAAGTCTTAGTCTCAGTGAACTTGCTTTTAAAGAAACGGAGAGCTTCCCCTTTTACTTCATCTACCGCACTGGTCCATTTACCATTCACCATTAAGCCGTTAATTCTATTCTTCCCATTCCTGCTGTTGATAAATCCATGAAAAAATTTTGTGTTCTCGTCCCTCCTGCTATTGATAAAGCTAGATAATTTAATGGATGGTAACGTGGCTTCCTTAAATGCCGATTGCATTAATTACCCTACCCTTCTTGATGATGGTGAGATAGCCACGTCGATTTCAAAGGCCCCTCCCCCCATACGCATTAATGAGGGCATCCTTGAAGGGGACAAGTCTCTTAATGATCCAAACTTTGCCTCTCACTCCCCTCTCAGGCGCGTGGAAGATCCCCCCCCCCCCCTCACAAAGCTGCCAAATGAAAGTGTTGCTGAAGATCACATGCCTCCTACTCCTTTAAATGTTGCAGGCCCAAATGTCCAGCCCAATGTGCATGCTCCCCTATTACGAATTTAATTCACTTCGGGCCCAATAGCCCAAGAAGTATCCAGCCACCACTTTCCTTTGCTGGAATATTAAAAGGTGGTGCTGGCCCTTCGTTTTTTGAGCCCAATCCAATGAATCACGATGCTGCTAACCCCGGAAATCAAAACAGTGCTACCGAAAAAATTGATATGATATTTTCCAAGCCTATTTCTCTTAATTTCATCAATAATATTGAAATTTTGGAGGATGATCACATCTTAATTCCTAAGGAAATCATGGAAAAGAGTAGAGCTCCGTTTGAAAGAACTTTATATGGTTATTTTGTGGGAAAAAGGCTCGCTTTTTCGCTTGTCAAAGATCGGCTCGAAGACCTTTGGAAGGAACATGGGATATGTGACATCTTTATTAATAACGATGACATGTTCTTTTTTAAATTCGATAATGACAAGGGTATGAATTACGTCCTTCAAAAGGGAATTTGGAAGATTAATGGAATCCCGCTCTTCCTTAGGAAATAGGACCCGGATGTTTTTATTGAAAAACCAACTCATGATCGGGTCCCCGTTTGGGTTAATATTTTTGGCATCCCCTTAGAACTCTTTAATAAAGATGGCTTAAGTCTTATTTCTAGAAAACTTGGAAAGCCTTTGGAGGTTGATTCCTACACCTCCACCGTGTGTGAGCGGGCTACGGGTAGAGCGGTTTATGCTCGTATTCTTATTGAGATGTCGGCTAATGATCCTTGGGAAAATTATATAAAAATCAAAGCAATCACGGCTAAAGGTGCCATATCTACCACCCTTAAAGTGGAGTACTCTTGGAACCCTAAGAGATGCGATCATTGTAAAATATTTGGTCATGAGCTTGCCTCTTGCCCTACTCACACGACCAGCATTCCCGTCCAAAAGACGGCTACGCCCACTCCGAGAGAAGCTGACATTGAAGGTTATCAAATGGTTAAAAGGAGAAATATACCAATTCCTATCCCTAAAAAGAAGGTTCAAGTTGACAACCGTAAAGGTAAAGGGCCTGCTCTAAAAATCGCTCAAGTCTACAAGCCTATTATTCGTGATCAAAAAAAGAAGAAGAATGTGTCGTCCAACATGTTTGATGCTCTCTCACATCAAAGAATTGATGACACTGAAGACGATTCTAGCATCCGTCCTGTCATCCATCCTAGAGATACCCCCCCCCCATTTTCTGATACACATCCGAGCTCCTCTCACGGTGGCCATATCTCTATTCCAGTTGACCAGGGTTGATGTTTTTTTTGCTTTTCACGGTGGCCTTAACTTAGTCTTATTTTTTATTTTTCTTGGGCGTTTGTCCTCATTTTTTTGTAATTTCTTTTTTATTAATAAAATTTGCCAAGGGTAATCCCTTTTATCCAAAAACCCTAAACCCTAAACCCCAAGCCAAGAAGTCCTCCTTTTTTTGTTTGTTTTGTCTTTGCTTTGGGGCATGTCCCTTTGCTTGGGCTTTTATTTATTTTTCTTGGGCGTTTTGCCCTCTTTCTTTGTAACTTCTTTTTTATTTGAATAAAATTTGCAAAGGGTAATCCCTTTTATCCAAAAAAAAAACCCTAAACCCTAAACCCTATACCCTAAACCCTAAAACCCAAAACCCTAAACCCTAAACCCCTAAACCCTAACCCCTAAACCCTAAACTCTAAACCCTAAACCCTAACCCCTAAACCCTAAACCCTAACTCCTAACCCCTAAACCCTAACCGCTAAACGATAAACCCTAACCCCAAAACCCTAACCCCTAAACCCTAACCCCTAACCTCTAACCCCTAAACCCTAAACCCTAAAGCCTTACCCCTAAACCCTAACCCCTAAACCCTAAACCCTAAACCCTAAGCCCTAAACACTAAGCCCTAAACCCTAACCCCTAAACCCTAAGCCCTAAATCCTAAGCCCTAAATCCTAAGCCCTAAAACGAAAACCCTAAATCCTAGACCCTAAACCCTAAACCCTAAACCCTAAGCCCTAAGACTTAAGCCCTAAACCCTAAGCCCTAAACCCTAAGCCCTAAACCCTAAACCCTAGGGTTTAGGGTTTAGGGTTTAGGGTTTAGGGTTTAGGGTTTAGTGTTTACGGTTTCGGGTTTAGGGTTAATTTTTGGAAAAAAGGGGAAAACCCTTGGCAAATATTATTAAAAAAAAATTACAAAGAAAGAGGACAAAAGCCCAAGAAAAATAAAGACAAGCTAGAGCTAAGAGATATGCCCCAAAGCAAAGACAAACTAAAAAAACAAAAGCAAAGAACTAACTAAATAAAGACCTAAAAAAACATTGATGTGCTCAAAAGTACCTACTAGTTTTAAATTTATATCCTAACTAACTGAACTAACTAATATGCACCTAGGTAGTGTACCTAGTCGAATTATAGAATAGTTTGGGTAAGTCGGATGTCAAACACAGGGAACGGTTTTAACTAATTAATTTACCTACTACTAAGTTAACCTAAATTTCTAGCTAAGTATTGGTTTATATCTAATTTTGCAAGTTTAGATGAACTTAATTCTTGACACAAATTCAATCAATAATCAAAACACTTCTGTTAGTTCGATTCCACTTTCTCTCAATGGTTTATAAATTAATTATGACTACTCTTGTTGGTTACCAATTAAAACATTATTAGCAATTCAGTTCTAAATTCACTAATATCAATTAATTCATGTAGGTCTATGTATGGTCACACATAATTTAACACAAAATCAATCGTTGAATAATATTGGAGCTATGTAGGATTGGGTTAACAAACACAAATTATGGTCATAACATGAGTTCTCTAGCACAACCAAATTTAATAATTCAATTCCTTAACTAAGATTGGTTCGATCTTTGTAACGCCCATGTTTCTGGGCTAGGAATTAATGTCGTTGTAATAGTCTAGGTTAACCTTTGTAACCCGTCTTGAAATAATAAAGATGTATTATTTGAGTATTATGTGTTTTATGCTTAATTGTGTGGCTTAAATTAATTAAGAATAAAAATAAGCGTAAAAATAAAATGTTAGATAAAACCAATATCAATACATGAAGATGTAGTGGTCGTGGCAAGGTTTCCGAAAATATAAAGAATGCCAAAATCCGAGTTATAACGAAGAAGTTATGACCTGTCGAAGTTTCGCGACAGAACCGGCGCGACACTGCGTGACGTAAATAGTGAATTTACGATAAAGCGATATTTTGGCCTTAGTGATCTAAACGAAAGTCAAAGAGTTCGTTAAACCGAGAGCGTGCATAAAAAGAACGCCCAAATCTGACTTCGTGTGAGGAAGTTATGATTGTTGTGGTGTTGATTATGATGGCATGTGCGAAATTAGAAAGATCTAGTGAATCATTCTGTAAAATCAAGAACACAAGGAGTAAATAAATCTTTGTAAGCTCATATTAGATCTAGAAAGGATATACAAATGGGTTTGTACACAATTTCTCTCTCTAGTCTAACACTCCAAATGGTTCCTTTACATAATGGGAGTCACTCACTTCCTATTTATAGGAAAGACTCAACTCATTTACCCATACAAGAGGGTAAGCCTAAAACACAACATCCAAGAGTGACTTTGCACCCTAACATTCTCCCCCTCAAAGTTAGGATTGGATGTCCCGGCTTCAGTCTCCAACGAGCTAGTTCGATCAAGACCAAACTCCCCCTCGAAGTAACACCGGTCTTCAAATCCGCAAATGAATATTCGACAAACCCGAGAAGCTTCGAATACCCATCATTCTCCCCCTTTTTATAATCAAAAAATGATTATAAAACCCACTAAGGGTGAGAAGTGCCCGATGAATAGTCTTCACGATACTCCCCCTTGATGTGTACCAAAAATAAATCACCAAAAATCTTGCACGGAAAAACAATCACGAAAAAGCCACAAAAAATTTCCAACTTATGAAAATTTTTGACTTTTTGGGTGAAAGTTGCAAGATTTTTCAAAAACCGGGTAAAAATCGTCACTAATAAAATTCTGCAGGGACCCGTTGCGGCAAAAACAACCAAATATGCGAAACTCTAGCCCATTTGCGAAACTGGGCATAAAGCGTAAATTCGCACAAACTGCAGGGACTTGAAATGCATTTTCTTCAATTTTCAGCAAAAACAGTCCTTTTTCGAATTTGGGTACAAACTGCCAAACATTCGAAGCCTCATGGACTATTTTCGAAAATTCTTCCTTTTGTGCTCCAAACATATGAAGAATCACCCAAACATACGAAGCTTAAAAAATTTTCGAATTTGGGTGAAAAGTGTCAAACATACGAAACTTGGGTTAATTTTCGAAGTGTCAAATATTCGAAGGTTCAGGGGCTTTTTGAAACTTTTGCTTTTTCAATTCATACGAAGCTTTTTGATCATTCATACGAAACTTTGCATATTCGTGCGAAAGTGTAGGGACCATTTTCGAAAATTCGCCTTCTTCTTCAATTCGTACGAATCCAACCTTTATCATTCATACGAAATTCCAAACACCCCTTCGTATAAATCTACACAATTTTATCCTTCGTATAATTCCCAAACAAACACCCCCTTCGAATCTAAATCATCTTCCCAGTCTTCAAAAGCATTTAACCAAAACTCTTCCTATGAAACTTCATCTTCAAAACATACGAAAAAAAATTCACAGCCCTTCGTATGAAATTTTGTTATCCCTTCCTTAACAATAACCCAAACACAATCGAATTCAGCTACACAGACATCGCTTTCAATACAGGGACCTCAAAATCCAAGTAACCATCGATCCTCCAAACCATCTATTCGAATCTCCAAACCAATTGACTTCTCTCATTCAATCCTTGACACCGATAGCTTCGAAATCTTCATCCCCATATCATGACGTTCCCAATATCAATCGAACAGACCATTAATTCGTTTAACACAAAATCAGCTATCGACATTAAAACCAAAACAAATTCGTCCTTCGTTCTCAATGTCAAACTCATCTTCTTTCAAAACCATCTGTTCGTCATCGATGTTTCACAAAAGCGAAGCCTTTTATCCAAATAGATTGAAATACAATTTCATCCCAAATCAAACTTTTGTTACTCTAACAATCAATTCGTTCCAAAATCAACTCTTCACATACGACCCCAAAGCGAATTCGATTCCCAACTCTTCATTCATTTGAAATCGAAAATCAAGCCTTCATCAACATTGGCCCTTTGGTCTTAATACACATTACACACTCGTCGATTTCAGTCAACCCAAAATATCAATACCGTTGATTATTGACATCTCGTTCCTTGTTACCAGACCCTTCGCACATCAAATGCAAACCTTGCGACTGTAACACCAACGATTACTAGTCATCAAAATTACGAATCGAAATTGAATCAAAACTTAAATCAAATCAGCCTTTGTAATTGCTACATGGATTCTCCACTAATAAAAACAATCGACATCCAATCTTTGACCATTTGACTTTTGAACTGCAATCAAAATCGAAGGATCGTCGATTTCAACACTTTTGATAATCAATCTCAACTGATTTCGAAATCAGTCAACCCAGTCAACGAGCATTTGTCATCCAAGAACATGAATTTTGACTTTTTAGTTTGACATGTCATTCTACTCTCTCTATCTGTTCTAACGATCTCCTCAAACAATCAACAACAACAATAAAAAAAAAATCTCGACTCCAAGAACGAGAATCATTCTAATCCAAACTTTACTTGAATCGAGTCTTCGATTTTGAATGTATCAGATGCGACGACTTCATTGATTATAAATGAAAGATGAACACTGATATTTGCAATTGAATTGTGGTTTGGGCTGAAGGAATTAAGGATGAACAGTAACCATTTGGGCTCACAATTTAATGATATTGGATCGAAAACACTTTTATGGGCTCAAGTTTATACAAGATTAGTATTAATTTCGAAAATGGATCAGAAAGAATAATGGGCTCAATCATGAATATGAACAATGGATATGAACAGTGAACTCGAACTTTTTAAAAGAAAAAAATTTGGAAATATGATTTTGATTTTTGGAATTTTGATCTTAACAAGAATAATTGGATCAACTATGGGGTTGAAACAGATTAGATCCAATGAGACAAATCGATCAAAAATGAAAAACGAAAAATACGAATTGAAATCACGGACGTTTTGGAATCCATTTGAGAATTTGAGATACCTTTTTGACGAATCGAGATCCATTTGCAACGAACGAATCAAATTTAGAAGATCTTGGTTCTTTAGTTGGAATAAGAAAATCTCCAATTTGAACATTGTACCACCCATTATGTGAGATGTAC